GCGGGAAAGTAGTTCGGCTGCCCGATGACGTTTTACGTATTATAGGAGTTATTTTTACCGTTGTTTACGGATACTGCCACAATTTTTATAGGAATCATAACTATAGGAAACGGTTTTATAGGGGGATCTACTGTATATACGTATTTTGGAAACGTTGAGTCGAATTAGTCTAGGAATCGATTAATTTTATGGAAGAAAACCTTTCAAACAGCCGTAGTCCGTAAACTTCACACGTGTCGGGCTGTGATTGGCAAGGTCTCCTAAAACCTTGCCAAAATAAATTCGTTAGTTTTGAAAAAATAATCTTGATTAATTTTTATTTTGGCTGAGACGTTAATTAGAATTTTTTTACAAAGTTGCCTGATAACAAGATCTACTGAACAAATGTCCGGAAGTCAGGGGCGGTTAAAATGAATCAGCGTACTAAATAAAAATATCCCTTTTGAATGCCTTATTCAACATGCCTATATATTATAACAGCCTTTCATTTCATTACAGCTATACTCTGCCTCAGGCACGAATTCGTTAGAGAATGGTAAGTTATACAGTTAATTTCGACCCTATTGGTGAACATTTCCATAATCTGGTACAGTAATATCCCAAACTTACGCGATAGGTGGGACCGAGCGATAACCGCGTAAGTCGAATTTGCGTAAGTCGGGGTATAATTTCGCAATTTGTGTAAAATCTAAGTCGGATGTATATAAGCTAATAAATGTTCTCGTTAATCTTATCTCGTGTTTTGATTCGTTCACGGTTACAAGAAATCACCACATAGAGTCTCTCAAGTCTCCGTAGATATAACAAACACAGAAATAAATAACACAAAATAAATTGTAGCTATGTGTCGATTCTGCGCGACACGTCCGAACATGTAAGCTGAACAATAGTGTGGGGGAAGTGAGTAATAAAGGGTTGCGTGGCGCTCAAACAAAAGACGAATCTGCGAAATTCGAAAATCGCGTAACTCCGGATTCGCGTAAGTCGGGGTAGCGTAAGTCGAGGTATTACTGTATATCAATTTTTTGCATAATATTGAACAATCTTCGTTGGGAAGTTGAATGAAATCCAGCTCTCCTGTTAAGAAGGCTGTTGAAAGCTAGTATGACTAAGCCCTTTTTCCATTTGTTTTTTAGTAAAATGACTTTCTATTGGGAAACTGGTTCTTATTTAAGTGTTATACTCGTGAATAAAACCGGGAAAACTTTACGTGGCCAGCCTGTTGTTCAGGCATGAATAATCGAAACAGTAGTTTTATCAAGTATGCCAGTGATGAGTCTGAAAACTGAAGCACGGATTGGGAAGAAACAGGTAGTTGAGATGAGAATGTTTAGGTGACTAATTTAGCTACTACATCAGAGATTGTTTGATTCTCTAATCAATTTCAAAGTAATCTATGGTAACTGATATAATGATGAACTAACGGAAAAATATAATTAGATGGTTAGGTCATGTTACGAGAAGAGATGGGATAGTTAGCAAAACGAATCAGAAACTTATATGTAAGATTGTGGATGAGTTTGAATAAGTTTGAAGTATAAAATAGTATTTTAAAGAAATTAATCTCTTCATGCAAAAAAGAGCTGTTTATTGTATTTTTTTCAGAATTACTTAATTTTGATAGTAATTTTTAAATGTTTTGTAAAATATAGACAATCTTCTCTTCAAAAGTCAAAACAAAAAGTAAGTCTTCCGTATAGTATCCAAAAAGGATATGCTCCACTTTTGGATACCATATGACAATCCTAAGTTCGAAATATCTAGACCTAAATACTATTCTATCCAGACTGAAAAGATAGATTAACAAAATTCGATCGTTCTGTAAATAGGATAAGAGGATGGATGACGATGTGATGCGATGATAGCAGTTTTACTTTTGAGGAATTAAAAAAGATATAGCTTAATTTTCTCGGTTCTTAATAATAAGTTTTATAGACTGTTTTTTAAAAATGTTTTTCCAATTATTTAATTTTTGTTTTGTTTAGTCTTAAATGTTTACTCAACAAAAATTTAGTTTTTTTAATACAGTATGTTGTTTACCAGAATAGACATATTTCTTAGTTTAATTTAAAATAATATTTTATTATTATTTAAAATTAATTGTATTAACAATATATTCAAGTCTTTTTATCTTATAAACCTAATAGAAATTTAAACAATATTTATTTTATTTTAATTGCTAAACATATTTCAACAGATTTACATGCTTAACGATTTAATGAAATAATTATTTCTTATTAATTAATAACAAGTATTGAAATTTGAAATTTATCTATTCACAAATAACTATCGTTCAAATTTCTTATGGTATAAACGAATACAACGTTGTTAAATATTGATACTTTAAAAACAAATTCAAAATCCAAAATTGCTCATTGTTCTCAATGACATTGTTAGATAAGTTTTAAAGAATATGAAACAGTATTATTTCATTTGATGTGTTAAATTTCCATTCATCACCATAAATAATCAAAAGCTGAAATGGAGAAAAAACTGTTGAGAACATAATGAGTTGCAGCTGCAAGTAAAGCAGTCTTTACAGCTAAATTTCTCAATTGTAATCTGAAAAAAATGAATATATTTTATAAAAAAACTATTTATATTATCAATTTTTAAGAATTCGATCGAGAGACTTACTTTCGAAATGTTTTTCTTGCTTTTGGAAGAGTAGAATGATCTTCATTCAACATAAATTTTCTCACGCCCAAAATGAAGTTTTCAAAATATAAATTCCAAATCACTGATCTTACATCAAAATTAAAGAGCTAAAAAATATTTTGAGTTTATATTACAATTTTGTTTTCATTTTTAAAATTATATTTTAAAATATATCTACCTTCTTGTCTACATCTGACATGGCATCCCAGATCTGTAAATAATTTTTAGCTTGGAAATACCATTCATTAGTTGAGAAATGATTAAAGACGATCATTGCTTTATCCACTTTTTTATATATTGACATCATTCTGTAAAATAGAATTATTAGAAATTTTTTATCAATACATTTTTGTGCATATTTTTAATTAAATTTAAGTGAAAAGTTTCTAAAAACAATTTTGCAAAAAAGTAATTACAAGAACGAATGTAATTAATCATAAAATTCATCTCATGATGAATTAAATGACTACTTTTAAATAGATTATTTCTGTTAAACACTCATATACAAACGAATATATTAGTTTTTACTAGAACTAACAAAACATTTAAAACAGTCATTAATGTGAGCTCAATTTGTAACTTATCTCTTGATATTTAAATAGATACATGAAATATGAAATCAAATTACATACTTATATATATTATTGACAGTCGATATTACGAACCCTGATAGAAGGGATTTCGGAAAGAACGAATCGAATCTGCTTATTCGGATGAAAATACAATATTTCAGATGATCAAACTACAACTATTGATGTAGAGAATGAACGCTGTGCCACACATCAGTATTGTTCACATTGTTACTTGAAAATGTGTTTTATTTTTTGTATTTATCATAATATGAACTGGCATATCATATAATGTATCTCAATGTTCGTTTTGTAGTTGGCATTGAAATTTTAATATATAACAGATGATCAGATTGTTACTTCTCCCAATTATCGTATCGAAGATCGACAGTATATTAATATTGTATTTTGTTCAAAACAAATTGTACAAACAAAATGGGATAATTACGAGAAATGAAAAATATTGATTTACAATTTTAACTTGGGGCACAAACTTTTTATTTATTTATTTACACACGATGAACTGTTGTGACATTTTGATATACACAGTTGGTTTTCGTTCTCACACAGCACTATTTTCTTTGGCATTTTTTTGACACTGTACACTTGCAATTGGCAAATTCCGTTCACCAAACTTTGATTCTTTTGCCACAGCTTCACTAAAGATATATATTTTTCTAGGTTGTCTTCAAGAATTTGCGTACCAGAAATCTGGAAGTCACTTTTAATGGACCTAGTCTTAATTGTGCCATCTTTGTTGCAATTTGATATTATTTTTTGCGTCAAGAATTTTTCCTGTTACCTTTTGGCAGTTTGATGGCTCTCATCAATCTTTGTAACATTCAATAAAATGAAGTCTGTAACTTCAATAAGGTTTAGTTGTATTTTTTGCAACATTTTCAATCATTTTTACTGCTCTGTGATTGTTGACGTTCCTCTGCAACATTTTCTTGTCTTCTGCAAACATAAACGCCACTAATATCTTTAGAGGACATTCCAATGCTCTGGGCACAATTCTTATGAAACTTCATCGCACACGACGAACATAATATTGCGAGTGATTCATTCAAATCGCGTACACAAACAGAACAAGACTCTTTTTCAAATTTTCTTTCCTAATTTTTGTTTACTTCCTCAACATTACATTCTAAGACGCTTTTCTTAAGTTGCTCCAAATCTATTTCACCATCAAGAGCTTTAAAATTTATGGTGAAATATTCGTTTATCCAAATCCTAATTTTGATTCTGATCCAAATAGTGCTGTATACTGTGTACAGATTTCTGCCTATAACTCGATGCTAATAGGAAATTTTTTGTCTCTGTACGAAACGACAACAGATTGCCAAGTCTGTACTACCAGTATCATCCACCATGCACGTAACATGTTTTCAACATCCTGAGTGCATCGCTCTATGCTCTCTTGGAATTGTGAACGTTGAAGTCGTCCTGTACTATTTTACATTCAGGCCACATAGCTAAAAGTTGCTCAATTACATTATCCGTGAACTCTCTTCCGTTGTCGCTCAGCAAAATACAGTATAAGGCGCATCAAAGTCTAAAAATATTTTCAGCAGTTCAAGCGCGATTTCGACTGCACGTTTTGTTTTCAAAGGGAGAAGAACACAAATGTTTTTCTGGTCTTGATAGTTCTTTAACCATCGTAATGATTAGTCTTACGACGATGTTTTTTTTGTTGATGAGACTTCTTCGAATTGCACATTTTGCATAGCTATACAAACAACCCCATAGTCGGACTTCGGGTATAAAATTTATTTTCAGAGCAAATAATATTTTGTCACGACCTCCAAGACTTATGGAGCGGTGATACTAGAATAATCTATCAAGATATTCCTCAACAGGAAGAGTTGCCACACAGGATCCTCAATGCTTTTTTTTTATTCAAAACTCTTATTTCACCGACCTCCATTGTATCATATTTTCTAATTAGGCCACACTAGTTACTTTTCTTGTCAGGATTTCTTGAATGTAAAATTTCACAAACCGCTTCATTTACAGTTGAAGTCTTTCATGATTTTTTAATTAAATTGTCATTCTTACTACTATATTTTAAATTTTTCATTAAATTTCAACTTAATAAAACATATGTCTTCTTTAGAGATATGTGTAGTATTATTGTCCTGCGTATTTTCTTTTCAACAGATGTAGCCCCCATATCTATTTCTGAGTCAATTTAAATACTAACACATATATAAACAAAATACGATTGAATTATTTAAATTCTATTGTATGTTAACTCAAAAAAAGCAACTGTAAATGTAACATGCTGATTAGCAAACACATACAAGACATTGTTCATCGTCGCGCATTGTTGCAATGTTTCTCTCCCCGCCGCACGTTCTCAAAAGAAAGTAACTCGATGAGCGAATCCAAGTTTTCAACTGGTGTTTAAAAGACATGACCAATCATACGCGAAGAGACGTTATGTTCGCGCTGTTTTTGATAAGTCTGCTGCAAAGGAGTCTCATTGCAATAAGCGAAGAATCGATTAAGCTAACTGAACAAACTGAAGTTCACTTTCTTAATAGCCTCAAGTTATGTGTGCTAATTGTAAAACGTTTAAAATATGGTAGGCTAAATAGCAAATACGAGATAATTTTTCAATTCCCTAGGCTCATTATAAAATGATGGCGCTCTTTACAGTAAGCCGTTTTTGTGATTTGCCTACAAAAGATATATGAAACCTTAAAAGAGACCTTATCAATGCTAAATTACAATGGACTTAATAAATGGCCCTCTGATCGCCCAAAGCGTGGAAAAAGCAAACAAAAATATTACACGAGAATATTTATAAAAATGACCTGTTCTTTCAGATTATAAGAAGAATAAAAATATCAGACTACAATAGAAATCCATAAGAAAAGATAGTTAGAGGGATGTATTTTCATCATTGAAGAACTATTTTGTTAGAACTGAGAACTTGTGTTTTATAGCTTACAAAATTTTTAGACCCATTTAAATATATGTATTAAAGTTAATTTAGTTTTATATCTACTATAAATTTTAAAATGTTCAAGAGTTTTGTAAGCTGTAAAACACAAGTTTGCACTTCTGATACATAATTTCTTCTTGACGAAAATATACCCCTCTACCACCTTTTCTTGTGGGTTTCTATTGGAGTCTGGAATTTTTATTCTTCCTATAATCTAAAAGAACATATCATTCATATAAATATTCTCATGTAATATTTTTGTTTGCTCTTTTCACGCTGTTTGTTTAGTTAATAAAAAATGAATGAGTTTTTAAAATTTTTTGTTGTCTGCTGTATTCAGAATCGCAAAAACTTTATTGCAGAAGATGTCCCCCTTGAGAATAAAATCGACCTGTCCGAGCGATTTGCTTGGACGAACACGATAACTCTGCCGTTTCGTTTTCGTTGGCCCGCCCTGTATAAAAATCTAGGAGAATTATATAACTTTTGAAAGATAATTCCAATTATAATAAATCGGCACACTTTTAAATTATAAATACTGTAAACAGCTTTCTAAATTTTATTTATGTTTAAATGAAAATTTAAATTTATTTAAAATTTACCTGGGTTTTTTTCCTGAAAGGTAAAGTAATGCATCAGTAAGTGCTGCAGGAATGTAATGATCAAACACAACAGCGATGTTATGTACTGTATGGCTTGTCTTAAAACTTCCTCCTGGATATCGAAATACTTCAGCAGATGGATATAAATAAGTAGGTCTATTTAAAAGACCAAACACGTCACCCCAAGTTACTTTATTTACAGTACTTGAAGCGCATTGATAAATCTGAAGGCCTTTAGGTCTATAAAATAAAAATAAATTTTTAAAAACGAATATGAAAAATAGCGTAAAAATAATAAATAAATAGAAGTTTGACGCACTTATGAGTAACTGTGTACCATGGAATAGCAACCATCATGTTAATGCATAAATCTACAGGAATCACATCAGAAACTTTGTTTGGAGAAACCACCATGGTTCGAACTATACCTTTCATTGCCTAAATATAAATTAATGATGAAGTTAATAATACAAAATTATTTTGAATTAAGCAAGTTAAAATACTTACTCCCACCGTGATTCCTGTTGGTCCATTAAAACTATCGATCCATCCCTGAAAAGTGTAAGTAAATTAATATTGATGATAACTAATGTAAGTAACATATAAAATGTTTTATTTTCACAAGTAAATGCTTTAAGGCATTTTTATATAAATTAGAATTACTTGCTTCTTCTTAACTTTGTGGAATTTTAGTTAAATAAATCTTGTATAATACAATTTCATATTATTTCATATATTATTAATTTCCTTTAAAAGAACTAAAGGAAATTATTAGAATATTACAAGATATTACTAACTTTAAGTAACTATTTATTATTAACTGTACTCATTACAACGAAAGAATATTATTATATTTTAATAATACTTATTTAACTGCAAGTTCTTTTAAGCCTTATTTTCGTTTTAATAATAACATCGTCTCGTAGCTTTTTTAAAAAAATTACAGTGCTAAGTATGAATATTTTTTTGATATTATAAGGATAAATATGTTTTATAAAGACATGANCTATATTATTATTATTATTAAAAAGCGGCAAAAGCTTAATTTTGAAGATAGGGACGAGTTTTATTATTATTATTTTAAATTTGTAAATGCTAATAACGAGTAAAATCTTTATTAAGTTCAATCACACTCGAGATATGATATATGACCCCCTCTATCACTTTAATTAATTTGATAAATTTTACCTGTTTCAAAATCGCATAATACGGAATATCTCGAGAAAAAAGTATAATCGTGAACCATTAGAAATATTTACCTAGGAACAGAGATGAGGAAAAACAAATGTATGCTCACTTAGCTCCAGTGTGTTCAAAAAAGTGTTTGAGTTCTGCTTTTAGGTAATAAATATGGAAAAAGTCAGTAGAAAAACTCAAATGAGAGTAAATAGTCTACAGTTGTCTGTAAGCAATTGTGTAAAATATGAGCATCATATTCTACACAAATTATTTTTTTAAAATCAGCGTGAATGTGGTATCAAAAAATTTTGCTTGTCCTTCTCAATAATGAAATTACTCAAACAGATTGATATACGAAGAAAAACACCCGCGATGTAAAAAAATATTGCGCCAAGAAAAATTATAGCACCCGAACTGAAAATCAAATTTTTTTCTTGGGAATTTCTCTTTGGTAAAGATAAATGCTTCGAAGACAAGTGCTTCGTGATTCGAAGCGATACTGTAAGCGTTTTATTATTGTCTCTGCACTTCGCGTTCTTACTTTAGCAGCATGACGGAGCTTTCAAGAACCAATTTCAAAAACATTGTTTTTCTCACACGTAGAAGGCTGTGCGATAGCGTTGCAGACTGCCGCTGTGAACAATCTAGTATCGAATCCTAGTCGAGATTGCTGCAAAAATTTTCCAGGTACAATCCACCGGTGCGTCGTTTTGAAGACATTTTTTGATTTTTAGAAGCAGATATTTTACTTTCGTATAAAAACAATGACAAATTATTTGAAATACTATTTCCTATAGGCAAATTTCGATTATTGCAATGAATTTCCAATCCGAGTGATGTGACATAAGATATTTCGTAGACATTATTTAATAATACACACTACTGACATGTGTACAATATAATATTGATATTTATTGTTATTTTTTAATGTTCATAATGCTTTGTTAAGTTAAACGTTAATAACGTTATTTACATTATGATAAAGCATTACAATCATTAAGACAATGAAAAAATGAATACGGGACTGCCGCAAAACGGGAAAATGATCGTACCGGTATATAAGTATTTTGAGCANTCTGTTCAAAAGCCTCGTAGCTTTTCTTTAAATTAAATAAAATTCTATAAAATAATTTATACATTAAAAGATATAAACCATTTTCGTAAACCTTTAAAAACAGTTCTTCATTCTCTTATAATAAGAGATTGATAATTATACTTGATTAACTTATTAGAAAATTATTATCTTCTATATTCAAAAGTTTAAAATTTGTTACATTTGCATTTATTTAGTTAATGATTATTATTTTGTATTCGTTTTCCCTGTTTATGTGTTTTATTCAATTAGTACATTAATAGATGAAATATGTATTATCAGTTACTGGCACAGCTTAGATGAACGCATGAAAGAGACCATGCATCCGTCAGAAAATCTGGATCACGCTCTTCTACCTTCCAGAAAGTTTATCTTGAAGTTATTGAACAATGAAAAATGAAATATTGATTGCATAGGTTGACACTATTTAGTTAACAAATAGATAATGAAATGAGACCATTATCAGAGATTTAATTATATTCCTTAGCAAATATGTTGCATGAAAATAATTAGTAATAACTTTGATAATTTAATTTTTAGCAATTATAACAATTTTTAATTATTGATAGAAATTATAAAAATATAAACTTTTAAACATTTTTCTGAAATACATTACATGATTCCAAGCTAAACTCTCAAATGAAATTTTATAACTTTTACATAAAAACTCTCTTTCAGTTCTAGTTTTATTACATTCCAAAAATTGAGAGAAATGATTTGATAAATACTTAAAAATTAAAATAATAATTGAAAATATTGACCTTAGATTTCAACATGGCATCTAATCTTTCTTCTGGTTGCATGTTCTTTTTCGCTCTGAAGAGCAAATAGATTTTCTTCAAATCGTTGCATGATCTCACCAACTTCTCAATAAGAACCTAGTAAAATTTTTATAAAAAGGTGAATTATTTCTCATAAATTTAAATAAAATATGTTGATTCTGTTCAGTATTTGTTTTTATTGCATTTATACCTTTCCCATAAAACCTGATCCTCCCGTAATAAAAATCGATCTTCCTTTATAAAACTCAGCTATTTCGGAAACTTCCATCATTATTTAAAATCTAAAACATAATAAAAATTGTATAAAAATTACTTAAATTAGGAAGAAAAATTCTGCAAATAGTTATTAGTTATTTTACAGCTTCAAATAATTTTTCTTAGTATGATTTTCGACTTTATTGCTAAAATAAAGATTGATTAACATTTAAAATCTCCAAATGAGATTTTGTATTGATCAGATTGGATTCGTGCTCATCAGCAGCCGAGTGGATAAAACCACTGAACACTGGTAATTGGCTGTTTACGTGGAATTTTCCGGGTTTTCTTTATGTATTAACACCGAATAGGGAGCAGTTTCCGTAAAAAGTCTTCCCGAAGACACTTTTCCTTGGCAGTTCGTCCATGCATTGCTTCATTCCATTAATGTAATTCAAATCCTACTTAATTTAATTTTTCCATTATGGTCAAGCAACTAGCAATATATCGTCCCATTTAGCAATTATCATTGTAAATATTCAATTTCGATTAACTGTATAAATTTTAATTGCATTTACTTTTTCATTTAGATATTTTTTAATATTCAAGTTACATTCAAGGGAATTATTACTTTAGAAAACTTTTATTTGTTTTTGCATTTTCTGTAATATACTGTATATAGAGAAACGTAATACAATGAAACTTCAGAACAATGGCCACTGACGAAAACATAAAGTATGGTCATTGTTTAGAAGCTATTATTTTCCCGGCTGTTATAACAGCGGGAAAGTTCAAGAAAAAATCAGGGGTAATTTCTATATGTGTGGATGTTAGTGTGTCTGTGCATATGACACGATTTTGTTCACCCTCTTCGAACTCCTGTGCTTTTTGTCACGATTTTGTTCACCCTCTTCGAACTCCTGTGCTTTTTGTCGAAAATCTCTGAAATTTTGCAGGTAGATTTGTTTATTAGGGGGAGATTGATGCTATTAAATTTTGGTAGTTAAAGATCCATAGGGTGGGAGATAATGGGAGTCGTGTGTATCTCCAGTAGGATAGGATTTATAGACGATTTTACTCGTTATTAGCATTTACAATTTTTTATAAAACTCATCCCTACCCTCAAAATTAAGCTTTTTACCATTTTATAATAGTTAAAAATATTAAAAGTTTTTCAATAAAATAGGATAACAGATGGCGCCACCAAAATTTTAAATATTGCCGGGAATGTTGAGCAACTCGTTGCTGGTTTATTTTTTATTCATTTTTGTTCAAAAAAAAGTCATGAAAAAAATGGCCGTTGTTTAGAGATGGTCATTGTTGCGAGGTGGTCGTTATTGTAGGTTCAACTGTAATATAATATAGGGAACAAGATTTTTTTAATTTTGAAAATTAAAAAAATATTTTTACTTGTTGTAAACATTAATTAATAATTTCACTATATTAACTGATAATGTAACATTCGAAGCTTAAGAAAAGAGAAGTTGCGTGCGTTTTAAAGAATGTATACAAATACAGTACATATTTAACGTATGAATTATTTTGTTAATATTAAATACTAGCATATATGCTCAGTGCTACTTGGCCCAAAAGTTATTAGAACTAATATTAAAATAAAAACCATATCAAAAGCTTGGCTATTTTACCCTACCATTGTCATTTATCAGTAAATATCAAGATGAAATCAGCAAGAGTGGGTGTCCAGGTTTTATGGTAGTAAATATTTCACACGAGGCTCTAGAGAGAATAGTAATTATGAAAAATTTGGTGCATCTCGGTCAAAGAGTTTAGGAATTAATAGAGGAATAAAATCGAAGGGGATGGAGTGTCCAGGTTTCATGGTAGCCTATACTTTCTATAGGATTCCTAGAAAGTAACTCCTAGTTACTCTCTAGGTGCAGATTGGTCAAAAAGTTTAGAAATATAGGAATACAGACAGCAACAGGCATACTTTTTTACGCATATATATATATATATATATATATACATTAAATTAATTTAACCTAGATAATTAAAAAAAACAATTTTATATTATTCAAGAAATATCATTTCAAAACTTACATAATAAAATGGCATTACTCAATACAAATAAAAATTGATCAATCAATTATCAATATTTGCAATTAACGTAGGCCTATTTACTAAAATAAAAATTTAATTTTGTATATTTTTTATATTTTGTATTTCTAAATGAAATTTTTTCTATTTGGGCTATTTACAACTAATGTTAAGAAAAAAAAAATACTCGTGTATATTTGATAATACAGAAGAGTGACCTAACCCTGACCAAGTAACATTTTTTCTTCTTTTTTAGATTTGCGCCCTATTTTCTTGTTTGTTACAGCTGAACATTTCTTTCAGAATTACAAATTTAAAGAATGTAGGTCGATTCAGTTTTTAATCTATTAAACATAAAAAAAGTAGAAAATGCAGCAAATATATTATCATGTATTTAATACAAGTATTTAATGAATTTCGTATAATAAATAATAATTATCGAACGCAATAAATATTGTTTATTAAATATCCGAATATTATATGAACGACTCATAATATTATTCTATAGAATTATAAATACAGATCGACTCAAAAGTCGGTTAACCGCATGAATTGCTGAACAAAGCAATCAAAGAACTTTTAAAAAAGTAATTTGTACATTAAACAAGAATCTCATTTTAAACAATTCTTGAAAATAAATTTTGTAGGTAATAAGACAGAAATTTAGTTTTTACAGTAGTTAATTAACTGACTTGTGATCCACCCTGTAAATAAATTATACCTAAATAAGATACTGTTATACATAATAACTTGTACGAAGAGCTTTAAAGATGTTTGTAAAGAAATTCCAGTCAGTTACACATAATAACGATTTAAATAACAGGTGATTAAATTATAATAATGTAAGTTTAAATAAAATTTATACCGTACTGTACATAATGTCAATAATTTGCGGGTAAATTATTTTTAACATGACTACAAACTTAAATCTATATACAGTGAAAACTGCTTAGGCGACCACCTGCATTCGACGGGCACCTGCCAAAACGGGCAAAAATTTCTGGCACGGAATATTTTATCCATAGAGTCTTCGTATAAGTTACCTGTATTAAACGACCACCTGTGTAACGCGACCGCGGGCATCGATTTTTGGTCCGAAACAACATACAACACCTGCAATAAGCGACCACNGCAATTGGTTAGAAACGTTACGTTTTAGTTAAAATATAAATAAAATATTTATTTAAAATATAATAATAATAAAATATAAGGGTTGGGAATATAAGCCAACCCGAAATGCATCTGAATTAGAAATTTTTAAATAAAACGTAACGTTTCTAACCAATTGCTGTTCGTTCGTCTACCAATTATCGTTTTGGATTACAAAGACGCTACACACTGCATTTGCGAAATAACTTCATTTTTACTTCGATAAGTTTACAAGTTAGATCCATAAAAACTATCTGCAAAACAATAGATATAAATTCTGATTTCTATTCTTCCTTAAATTTTCCTCCAGCCTTCTTCCTTTCTTCATACAGCATAGGATACTCTATCGATATACTGTAAATCCCGTGCATGTATAGTTTACACCGTATAAATGTGCAATCGATGTTGTACATCCATACAGTGTAAATCTACCGTATGGATGTACGGTACCTCTTCCACTAGTTTACACTCGATGGGATATAAACTACTGGAAGAGGTATATTTGCATATATTTAATTTTCGATTGAAGCAAGTGCTCTGTTTAATGGTGTTTGGCTGTATAGTATCATATACATGTATATATACAGTGAGTGATCGGTTAACGAACAAATCGGATAACGAACACTTTCGCGAAAGATTTTTATGTTTGCACAACGAACACAACACAAGAAGAAGAACGTAAAATAATGAATACCGATTGGTCTTCCCTTGTCTTCAGGCAACAATTCGAAACTTTTCGGAGCGTGGGAGACGTCGACATTGACGCTCAACCCGGTATATACCGATCGGATAATACTCCTCTGAACTTTGAAACTCTCCATTATAATTCCAGCCGTTTATTTTTCTGACAGAAAAATTTTTTCTAGTATTCGCAAGACTGTCGGGCGGGCACTCGTTAAGTTTTGCGTCGGTTTTTATTTTCGAAAGGTGAGAGTATAATAGCAAAGAGTGGGCAGATGTCTGATGTTGCTGGGCAGTATGGCTTGAATAGGTCTACAGTAGACACAATCTTAGCTAAGAAAGATTTAATCAAGAAGACTCAAGTAGCTAAAGGACTAACGAAAATGACATCTGAGAAATAAAGAACATTGAAGAGCTCATAATGGAACCTGAAACTGATCTGACGACAGAAGAACGCCAAGAACTCTTAAATGAAGAACACCAAGAAACTCGGTGAGATATGTTTTCTTCTGAAAAAGAGGATTAATGCCGATATCTACTATTAAACATCTTTTGAAGAAGTGGGAGGTTGTCAGAACGACGGTCTTAGAATGGCATCCAAACCAGGTTGAGGTTAATAGGCTTAGGGATCTCTACAATTACAATGCTATTAATTACTTCTGAAAAATCCTGAAGAAGAGAGAAAAGCGATCGACTTTAGACAGATTCTTTAACCCCACAAACGGAAAAAACATAACTATAAAAATTCAAGACTGTGTATATATGTATTTTTATTATTACATATAAATAAACGTAGTAAGAAAGTATATAATTTTTATTTTTGGGGGTCTCCAAAACGAATTAATCAAAACCTATGGTAAATCGATAATCGGTTAGCGAACAAAGTCTTGGAACGGATTATGTTCGTTAACCGATCACCCATTGTATTACTCGTACATATGTCGTAATGTAAAGAATATTTTCTAAATAGGCATTACATTCTTTTAAATTCGAAAATATTAATGACACAAATGAAATAATAAAAATAGAATTTCTAATAATGGATATTTGCTGTAACCATGCCCAAATAGATTTTCACTTAGAACCCCAATAATTCTTGACCCGAAATAGATTTCGGGATCCAAGAGACCCAAAATTTAGTATTTCATATTTTAAAAAAATGATATGAATGGGATGAAGAATATAAAATCACTTACGCAATATGGTTCCTTCCATGATGGTGAGACGATAGTTGGACGAAATATGCTAACTGGTAAATCCGTTTCTTTAAGATATAGTTTTTCAGCGAGATTTTTTGTAAAAGAATACGTATTCGGAAAATCATCTATTAATTTTGGAGTTATGGTATCCACTAAATCAGTATCCATCCATCTGTGCGTATAAAATTATTGTCAATATGTAGTTACTAATTGTACAGAAAAGTTTTCTTTAATGCTTACTGAATAGTTCTGATAAGTTCTTCAGGATCCACTTTAGATGGGTATATAATCTCATCAGGTTCACTACGGTTACAATTACAATAAGCCGTCGAAACGTGCACCAAACTCTGATGTTTATTTTTATAAAAGTCAAATTAATTATCACATATTATCTCTATCAATATGAAATGTTCATGTATATATTTTACCTCGAGATTCCGCAGTCTTTTGCAAACTTCAATTAATCTCTTCGTACCGAGCAAATTTTGTTCCACAGCAATTCTTTTAAGTAAAAAGTAAATATATAAATGTATATGTATATTTAACTCATAAGTTAAATTTAATTAATTATAGAAATAATTTATCATACTTTAATGCTTCGTCAAATCTTACAGTTGCTGCTACATGATATACAATACTAACTTCAGAAGAAAGTAAATCTAAATCAGTTTCACTAATTCCTAATAGCGGTTCAGATAAATCTCCACTAATAATATGCAATTTTTCTCGATAATTTGGTCTTTCTTCTTTCATGCGACCGAAAACCTATAAGAAAACAACAAAAAATCACATAAATAAGTATTAATACTATATTTAATTTGCGTTTTTATTTATTGTAATTTCGGTTTATGCTTTATAAAGAAAATATAAATTAAGTTTTTAAATCAAGCAAAAATTATAAAATCAGTATTTTCATGTTTTTATAAAATTTAAACTAATAAAATTAATTTAACACCTAAATAGTGACAGTTTCTTATGAAAGTCCTCCGGGAGGCACTTTCCCTTTGGCAATTTATCTGTGTATTGCGCTGCCTTATTACATCTATCCATCCGTCTGTATGATGTTTGGTAAGGTATAGATCTATGGTAACAAGCTGGTCGCAAATTCAGAAATACAAAAGCAATTCTAGCTTATTTAAATTTGTAATTGTAAGCATCATATAAATCTGTCCCTTAAACATTAACATGACGTTACTTAAAACCAATCTGACATTTAGGTACAGAAAAGATGAGAGCATATTGCCATCGTCAAAATAGTATTTTTTAGTTATAAAATATTAGGTATGTCTTCATGTTTTAAAGCCTCCAAAATTTTCTCACTCCAAGCGTGTTCCTAAAGTGCATAATGTAGGAGCCAGTTCTCAGAAGAGTAATATGGCTACAATGTAAATTTTAGAAAATTTTAATTATTTGTTTTGATTAATTTTATTATAAATTTTGAAGTAAATTTGTTTAGATGAAACACTTCTATTTGAATTTTATTTTCGAAACAGATGTAATATAATAGCTTTTTAATGAAAATAAAAGAAAAAAAATTAAGTCTACTTATATATAAAAATGAAAAAATATATAATACGTTTGTAAATTTAATAAAAGTATGAAATATAATTTCATAAAAATATCTTATGCAAATTTTATTTATTTTCTTTTAGTAATTTGATTTTCATTAGTCAATTTGCTTATATATTTTGGCAGTTATTCATTTTGTTAGAATATCAAAATACATTTCAAATACTTGGTTCCTTACAGTTCAATTATATTGAATGAATTATACAGAACCTGTAAAGTCAATAATATTATCTTTTGCTTGTAGTTATAATTTCTCTCTATTAATTAACTAAATGCATCGAATATGGATTTTTGCTTAAAAGTTAATTCAAAAATGATAAAGAAGTAAATCTTAGTAAAAATAAAAAATTAAGCAAAAACATAAATATGTAAATTGCATTCAGTTATGAAAGTAAGCAATTGCATTTTNACTGTACGTGGCCAGCTCACGCGTCGGATAATCTTCTGATTTATTCGTGTACGCACCAGACAGAAAAACAAAAAATATCGTGTATCCACAAGCACTCCAATAAATAAATAGAATTGAAACGACACTTTGAAATGTTTTCCCGATGAAAATTAATAATAATAATAAGTTTCAATAGAAATGATAAAATGTAAATTTAATTTTATCATAACGAGTTTGCTTGAATTTCGTTTCTTCTGAGATCGCAGCAATGCGCGACGTGTAAGCTAGTAGGTCTATAAATTGTAGGCCTATAGAGTTATTCATGTAGATTGTCTAATAAATATCTTACTAGTTATGAATGTGAATATCATATGGGTTGTTAGCAGGGGGCGGCAGGGGCGGTCCGCCCCGGGCAGCACTTTTTAGGGGGCGGCAAAATTACGTTTTAGGGGTGGCAAAATTTGTCAATAAATAATAATAATATCTTGTAAGAATTTGAACCATTTTATTTCATATTTCGTCCAACTACGATTCGGACCGATTGAAATGAGCACGTAATAGTGGGAATCCGACTCGCCGTCTGGGCATATTGTGCGCAACCTGTCGACCTTTTTTTTAGCTTGTACGATTAATTCGTACTCATATATACCTCCAATATCCAATAGGGTTAAATCATCTACATTACTTGCGTTACTCCTACCCCTCCTACCCAAGTCTCCCTATCGCTAATTGATTTAGAACCAGCATGCACTGCAAATTATTCTTCATTGCAAAATGATATACGCATGCGTCAGGAACTTCTGTTCGAACAAACCTCACCTGCCGTCAGACCCTGACGGCAGGTGAGGTTTTAAAAAGTCGGCGGTTTTAAAAAGGTGGCAACACTAGCACGGAATTTTTCATTACTTATTCTGTGACGAAACTGAATTTTAGTCTTTTAAATTGAGATACCTAAATAAGGGAACGGCGAAATTTTCCTCCGCCCCAGGCGGCTGACACCCACGCTACGCCACTGGTTGTTAGGCTGTTTAAATTATATATATATATATATATATATATATATGTTACATAATATATATAATCTACATTTATTCACTTTAAGGCAAGATTAATTAACCTAAATTGTCGAATTGGTCAATTGAATAAAATTTATTTTCAAATATCGTGCAACTATGCAATACTATATCCATTTATAAACATATTTATTTACTTTTAGTCATTATTATTCTGAATTGAAAAAGTTTTTGAATAATTTCTTAAATTTAAATTACTTGTTATTTATTTATTCTTTAAATGAGAAGATTCGGGTAACATTCACACACCGTTCGATACAAATGACAATACTTTCTATGGAAAATATGAAAATATATATTAAAAATTATATTTAAGAATTAAATATGGAAAAATTCAAACAATGTTATTGTATCTTAGAGATTTTTTAACATTAATGCTTCAAAAAACTGTTATCATAAGGTATGCGTTTAAAGGAATTATAATTATAGATATTAATTAGAGTCATTAAAGTAAATATTGCTATTCTAGCTGTTTAAAAATAACCATTTAAAGTATTTATGTGAGATTATACATTTGCATCATATATTCTCTAGGAAAATAATGTAAAAAAATCCAGCAACGAGTTGTGTAACTTTTCCGGCAAAACATTTAAAATTATTTGTGTTATAAAATTTTATTTAAAAATTTTTTGTTATTAATTATTATAAAGTGGCAAAAAGCTTAAAATTTTTTTGAGGATGAGTTTTGTAAAGAATTCCATTGCTAATAATGAAGAAGATTCTATTGCTATCAGAATTCTAAATGCTACATAGGCGATATTTTGCTTTGTTTTTGTTTAATAGTTCTTTGATGTCGGTTTTTCTTACGTTCGGCCTGTGTCGACTATGTAAACCATGTACATTCTTCTGACTGTGTCCAGCGGTGTCGGGTGAATAAAGAATAGTTTGTCTGTCTATCTGTTTGTCTGCTACTGACGATATTTGATAAAAAAAATTGCCAGGACAAAAGTTTTTAAAAATTTATAAAATTTAAGAAAATTCTTTAAAAGACTACAAAAAGTGTATCTTCTCACTTGTCCCTGCTACTAACGAGTAAAATCTTCATTAAGTCCAACCCTACTCGAGATACGAAATATGACCCCTCTATCTCCCCATCTCCTGGCCTTTAAGCATAAAAATTTACTAGCATCAATACCTCTAATAAACAAACCTGCCTGCAAAATTTCAGCAATTTTTGACATGCTTAAGAGTTATTAAGGCTTCAAATTATGTAAACAGAATCGCCCCAAATACACACTAACATCCATATATAAAGGGAAAAAACTAACTTTTTTACATTTCTGGACGTATCAAGGTCCCCTGAGTCAAAAAATGTATAAACCTGGGGGTCATTTTTTGACCGATTGCCATACTTTATTTCTCTTTGTTATATATAAAGTAAAAGTACAATCAGACTAATCAAATTAGTACGCTAATGCCACAAACTGTATGTATTCGTGTAAAATGCATTATGTAAAAAAATTGTATAATAGTGAATCTCAAAGATATATCAAAATTTTTCCTTATAAAAGGTTAATTTAAATAAATGCTATTACTGTACTTAAATATGCAAGATTAGTTAATTTACATATTTAGATATTTTGTAGATACTTTATAAAATACAAATTGTGCTAGGTTTTAAATCTATTCTTATAAGTTTAGCTAGCGTCTCTTGTTATAAAACGGACAACATTTTAATATAATAAATTTCCCAATTTTAACATCAATACTTACTACTTAACATCATCTTTCCTTACAATTTTTTTGTAAGTATTGATGTTAAAATTGGAAAATTTATATTAAAGAAAGATATTCCTTCCTTTCAATTTTTTATTACAAGTATTGATACATACATACAAAGCTATATAGGCCTACGTACACTATAACTGTATGTATATATACCTGTATATACAGAATATGTATGTATGTATCGCGTATTGTGAAGATGTAACAGTCGAATTGAATGGTTAGTCACATTCATATTTTATCTAAAACATGGCTCTAAAAGTTTGTAAACCAGACTTTTTTTATTACCAAAATACAGATCAAATTCCACGTAGATAGCTTAAATTCAGTTACCTAATAATTATGTTTCAAATTTATATTGTTGTTATATAGCTAATTATAAATGGTTATTCTGTTTCCAAACTGCTGTAATGTGACATTTCTTATGAACTGAATGTGATCATTTAAAATTCCCTCACAACTTTCGAAATTTTCCAACAATAAGACTACATCATCGGAATAGTGGAATGTTGTCCTTTAGATAAAAGTGTATCAGTAGTTTTTTTTCTATCATCGTTTATCCTCATTTATGATTATTCGAATTTAAAAAATAACGCGATATTCGTGTATCATTACAATGTTCATCATATTCAACTAATTTTATTTTAATTAGCCTAATAAATTCATATATTTTAAAAAAATATTCTCTAGAATGTTTCGTTAAAGTAGCGTTATAACTTATTTAAAAAGTTTAAATAATGTTAGGTAAAATTTTAAAGATATAACTATTAATTTTAGAGCAATTTGTATGATTATTTAGTTATTTATATTTTAGATTCCAACCTATCTTAAACGTATTCAATATACTTAAAAAATTAAATTATTTCTTAATTATTTTTAATGTTATAATTATATTTTATTTACCTTAAATTTTAATATTGTGTTACACATTTTATCTTTAAAAGATAGACAAATTTAAAACTATTTAGAACTATAATGAACACAGGTTATAAATATAGTGAAGGTAAGCT